TACTAAGTCTATAGTTTCATACAAATTAGAAACTCAAGTTACAGATATTGACAAGCTAGAATATAAAACTAAGAAGGTCTTATCTTTTCATTTGCTGAGATATTGCTCATGTAATAAATTAAACACAGTGGCACCCCACCCACCTCTTTACATTTTTGGAAATGCTCCCCTATGTACACTTACTTCTATAGTTGAATTCTATGGTATTGATGTAGTAATTTAAAATTTGTATTTATTCAAATGTATATATATCAAACCTAAAAAAAAATTGTTTCATATCCTCCACGTGTACAATTTTTAAAGGCTTAGCAACCTACAGCAACAGAATACAAAGGTCGTAAATAGAAAGATAATTGTTTGCTTTACTTCTTTATTTACTGTTCTATGTTTTAGTAAAAATATGTTTATGAACTTATTTCAAAATAGCAATAATCTATATACATATATAATGTATAATAATTGAAATGTGACTGTATTTTACAAAATACTAGTCGGCTAAAACTCGGCCAAGACAAGTTACTTTGTACAGACCAAAGGTCAGTTTTAAGTTATTTGATACAGTAACATGAGTGCACGTGAGTCGTGTCATTATATCTTCTGTATTGTTAGCCAGGCATGGGTGAAAGGACAATATAATAAAGATAATAAATATATATAAATGTATAATGTTATGAGATTTAACCTATTTAGTCTAAACATTTATATTTCATGTTATAATTTGTTTTCATTCTAGAATGAGAGAGGCATTAATGTACATTTCCTAATTTTTATGGTGGTTGCGAGATCGGTCAAATCTACCAAACCTGTACAGAGATTAATTACTGAAATAACAGATAAAATATAAAGTTTTTTTCTTAAGAAAGGTTTGATAACTATCTCGACATTATAAAGATTTTGCATGTGAAATTTCAAAATTTTCTGATGCATAAAAGTATTTTTAATCTTAAAATTAAAAATTACTTTGCATGATAGATTGGCAAGATGTGAAAAGAAAAAAGGCATGAGAAAAACATTTTATCATAAACCTTAAGACTTAATAAAAAAAAAATTATATATTTTGTGTATGAAAGCATTG